TTTCGCATTCTTGGACCAAGAAGATTCGCTGGTGGACGCGGGGGCATCCGCAATGGTGGGAGATATCCAGACTCATCGGACGACCACGCTACCAACGAGGCACCGTTTGATGACAGCATCTCTGCGCGCGACCGTCGAGTCGCAAAGTCCAACAATCGAAGGACAGATGCTGCTGCAATCCTTTACGATCTGGACCTGGGGTGGCACGGTCAGATTGCAACTCTTTCAGGGATGCAGTGCTGCGCGGGCGATGTTGCAGGGTTCCCTGTGAATGAACGCGCTGTCGCCGCGCCGTGGCGCCAACATCGCAGAGCGGATTTCGTTTGGGAAACAATGGGATGGGCCCAGATTGCCCTCGGTAACTCTGGCCCGGATTTCGAAGTGGATATCGCGCGGATTTTTTTGGGGACCAAGAATCAGGATTACAAAAATCAGCGTGAAATTCATTTCGTTGTTCGATCGCTGCATCGGGGTTTTGCGCTGCCACAAATCCATATGTCCAGATTCATCTTGCACAAGCCTAGTGGGATGTTAAACCTGTTGGCACGGGCTCCGAAGATGGCTCTCCCATGTGGGCGCCGCTTCAGCTCAGCGCAATCAACTTCACGATGGGCGAGCTTAACTGCATGCTGTATCAACGAGGGGCGCGGCAGAGCATGATGGGATCGCGCCGGGGGTTTTGGAAGCGCTGCGAACTTCGACGACAGTTTGCACGACCCTGTTGAATCTATGGCACAACAGACTGGGAGGACTAAAACATACCCGTGTTATGGCGCATTTTTATTGTTGTACTGTTGCACAAGAAGAGAAACGCACGCCTTCCGGAAAACTACCGACCATCATTCTCTTGCTAGCAGGGTACAACGTGTTTCAGGAGCGCATTCAACAAAGAGGCGTTGCATGCCGAATTCGGTCTACGCAGTTTGGTTTTCGACCTAAACAAGGCACAGTTGACGCCATCTCTATTGCACGTCGCATGTCCGACGAACGCGCCATAGACAAGCTCGGTAGCTGAATTCTTAGATTAGGACAAAGGTTTTTGCCGTTGAAGAAACTAGCGGGGGATATCAACATCGGGCTTCAACGAGCGGGCATCGCCCGAGGATGTCCGCTCTCCCCGTAGCTTTTCAACCACCATCCACACCGTCATGTTTGTCGTCGCCGACCGCAAGTACAATAACATTGGCATGGGTTTCGAAGAGCCAGGTTATGTCGTTTGCGACGACATATTGCACGCGGGCGGCACCATGCTCGCGAGCGCCAGTCGTATAGGATCCAGCCGCTTTTAGATTAAACGATTTATGTTGGAAATCAACGTGGCCTGGATCTGAATTGGGGCAACACAGCTGCGATTCAACATACAGCGCCATGGAGTCGTGCACGATCCATCCCTGCAGCTGGTTCAGCATGTTGAACAGGTGGTGCACTTGGGAGGGCAATTGCTCCTCAGCGTTGCAAGCCAACCAGAAATACCAAAGCGACTCGGAGAAACCAAACAGATGTTCAAGCTATTCTCGAAATGTTGCAATCACGTTTGTATCAGCAAAATCATAGACCCAGCTGTCGTGCCCAAGTTGGCATGCACGTTTGAGGCGCCCTGTCTACGTCAATCAGATCAAATCGAGGAACTCGTTCCAGGGAGCTCGCCTTCGTAAGACTCTCACTTTTCAACACTCTCATTGTTCGTGTGCCTCCAGAGCACTCGTTTCATCTCAAACAAAAGTTGAGCTCCTGAGCGAGATCTTGCGATAAAAGACAAGGTTGTTGCAGACGCACACCAAAATAGCAAGCCTTCCCGACGACATGTTTTTGAGCTATTACTTGCGAGCCTGGGGGATGCGCCGAGGCAGTTGTGCTCACACAGAAAGCGGTGCCGTCCAAAATTGCAGTGGGCAGCGTGCGTGCATAAATCCGTGCGGCACGCCTGCTTCACGATCGCTTTTCTCTGCTGCACGATCGCTTTCCACTTGGGTTGCGATGCGGACGGCACGCTCGCGAGCGAACTCCGCGTTGACGTTCTGATTGCGAGAAGCAGTCCTTGCGTCACGCGAATGGGAACTAATACTTTTGACGGCCCTTGTTCATCTTCATCGTCATCATCGTCATCATCATCACCATAATCATCTCACCCCTTCGGCCCGCCTCGGCAACCCAATCAGATGCGCCGCCGACCTCACGAATAGGGGATTCGTGCAGTCAGTGCCGAAGCGCCGTGCCGCAGGCTGGCCCGTGGCTGTTCTGATTGTGCGTGCTCCTTCCTTTCGCTCTCCGCTTCCTTCATTTACCTCCCAGTGTATCCTTCCGTCTCTTCCTTTCGTACTGATTGTTCCTCCTCCTCCTCCTCCTCCTCCTCCTCCTGCTCATCATCATCCTCATCCTCCTCCTCCCCCTCCGCCTCCTCCCCCTGCCGCACATCCCCCTATCCCCCGCGTCCTCCTCCTCATCCTCCTCCCCTCCCCTTCATTGTCCCTCTTCTCATCCCTCTTCCCCACCTCCTCCTTCTCCTCCTCCTCCTCCTTCTCCTCCTCCTCCTCCTCCTCCTCCTCCTCCTCCCCCTCCTTCCTATCAGTATCTTGGCACGCCAGCCGCGCTGGCAGCCTCACCGAATGGAGGGCGGGAGTCCCGCTCCCGATCTGCGGCCGCTGCGCCCACCAGGACGCTGACGAGCAGGGTCCGCCACGAGGTGGCGGACATCAAGCGGAAGTGGGCGCCGGCCCTGGCTCCCGGCCAGCACGGACGCGGTCTCGTCCCTCGTCGTTCCGAGGCGGAGGAGGCGGAGGAGGAGAAGGAGGCGGAGGATTGGGCCTCGCGTCGTGGGGGGATCAATGGGGGTGGGTGGGTGGGGGGGCAGCGAGGGTTGCAGGAAAGGGGCCCCTGAAGGGGCCCCCGTTTCGGGCCCAGAGGGGGGCCTTCAGGGCCCAAGAGGTGCACCGTTCTCCCCCCGCCCCCCAATGTGTCGCTCCCCCGTTCCGCGCGGTCCAGGGTGAAGAGGAGCGGCGCGTGGCAGGGGCGCTCGACACCCTCTCCCCGTGCACCCCAGCCCCCCAGGAGGGGTCCCTGCCCCTCTGCGGGAGAGCGGGAACGAGCCCGCGCCGCGGAAGGAGGCTGTGGAGGACGGGAGGTGCACACACACACACACACACACACACACACACACACACACACACACACACACACACACACACACGCACGCACGCACGCACGCACGCACGCACGCACGCACACACACACACACACACACACACACACACACACACACACACACACACACACACACACACACACACACACACGCACACACACACACACACACGCGACAGGGTTTTGCCTAGAGCCTAGAGAAGCGCAATGTGCTGACCCGCCCTGAGAGGAGGAGAGAGAGCAGAGAAGGAGTGATGGAAGGGAGGTCAGGAGGAGGAGGAGGGGGGAGAGGGAGGAGGGATGTCGGAGGCGGGCGGGGGATGAGATTGGAAAGATGCGAGGATAAAGTACAAAAGGAAGAGCGATACACATGAGAGCAATATGAAGGGAAGGAAGAGGAGGAGGAGGAGGAAGAGGAAAGGTAGGAGGATGAGGAGGAGGGATGAAGAGGAGAAGGGGGGAGGAAGATGAGGAGATGGAGGAGGAGGAGGAGGAGGAGCAGAAGGGAGGAGGAGGAGGAGGAGGAGGAGGAGGAGGAGGAGGAGGGATGGACGGAGTGAGCGAGCGAGAGAGGTGGCGTGAGGAAGGGTTGTGCGTGAGTGTGCCAGACCACACTGGAGGGCAGTCAGGGGTTGGGATGTAGTGGGGGGCGCGAGGTCTGCTGCAGGGCCTACCCAACTAGTGGAGCGATTGACTCGACGCTCGCAGGGAACGGCCCATGATTCGACGCTTCCTACCACGCAATCTCCGAAGCCGCCCCCAAAGGAGCCGAATAACTCCTCCCCGAAATTCCTGACACCGTTTGAGTGCCGGGGCTTGCGATCCCTCGGTGGAGAGTACCAGACGCGCGGCTTGCAGAACACGCTGGACGCACGGGCCACTGGATGGTGCACCGTGTCTCGCGCCAGTTGCACGAGTGAAGATCTAAGATTCCGCTGGCAACCCCACACGCACGAGAGGGGGAGAGGAGCGGGCGCAGGGGATGGGACCTCTGCAGGCTCGATGCGTTGTTCGGGCTCGTCAGGTGCGTTGGGCAAAGCGGTGCCGTCTGCCCGCGCCCGACATGGGACTCCACCCCGACGCGCGCCACGAGTTGGAGCGCAACGCTGACGTGCTTCATCGTGGTTCTGAACCGCTGCCATTCACTATGGTGGCGCATCTGCGCGCTAGGTTTGGCGTGTGAATCGCTAGTCTGCCGCGCGGCTGCCCATCCCGAGACGGGTGCACATCTCGACGCGCGGAGAGCGAGTGGCGTCGGCCCGAACCTCTGCAACCAGGTCGACCGAGGCCCAATTCTCCTGAGGTCCTCGACCTGGCGCCAGCAAGGTTGTCATTGCCACGCCAGCCCGTCGTCGGGTCGATGGCATCATCGCGGCCCCCTCCTCAAACTTGGGGTTCCCCGCAGTATTGAGCGAGGGGGACAGCCGCTAACGAGAACTTTGGTACGCACACTGCCCAGAGGTTGGCGCGAAAGCGTTATGGTTCGCCTTTGCTTGACGGTGCAAGACCGCCTACACCTGGGGTCGGTGACCTTGTGACACATCCTCTCCTCCTGCTCCTGTTCCTCCTCCTCCTTCTCATTCCTCCCTCCTCCTCCTCCTCCTTCTTCCTCCTCCTCCTCCTCTCTCCTCCTGCTCCTGTTCTTCTTCCTCCTCCTCCTCTTCCTCCTCTTCCTCCTCCTCCTCCTCCTCCTCCTCCTCCTCCTCCTCCTCCTCCCCTTCCTCCTCCTCCTCCTCCTCCTCCTCCTCCTCCTCCTCCTCCTTCCTCCTCCTCCTCCTCCTCCTCCTCCTCCTCCTCCTCCTCCTTCTCATCCTTCCTCCTCCTCCTCAGTGACTCCTCCTCCTCCTCCTCCTCCTGCTCCCGTCCTTCCTCTCCCTGGCACTCTCAGAGGTCGTCCCCGCGAAACGACCCCGCCTCTCCGCCGCATGTCTGGCCCCTAGGCTTGGGGCTTGCGCGCCCCCTCAGCGGGCCGCTCCGCGCCGCTCGTCGCCCCATCGGAGGCTTTGAGAAGCAGGTGGTCGGAGACCCGCCGAGCCGCATCCTAAGGGTGAGCAAACTTCAGGGGTGCGTCCTTGCCTTTCGGACCCATGGCGGTGGGGCCGTGGGCGTCCAACGTCGGTCTCAGCTTGGGCATCCAAGGGGCACGTCTTTGCCTTTCGGGCTCTCAGCGGTGGGGCCGTGGGCATCCGACGTCGGCTTCATCTTGGGCAGGCAAGGGCCTTCCATCCTTATGTACTGCGCATCCGTTTGTGATCCGGCCGCGCTGCAGGTGCTCGCTCGTGGACTACTTGTTGCATGCGGCCATCCAGCCGTCGCGCCGAAGACCGCGACAAGATCGTCAGGACACCGCCGAGGACCGCCCAAGGCAGACGGGTTACAATGGGTCCACGGTCGAACACGTCGGGCTCAATGCTACCAGGGGTCAGCCAATCGCCTCCGATCTCCTCAGGCGGACCTCGGTTTGGAAGCCTTGTGAAGCCGACCCCCCCCCTCCCCGCCACCCTCGACTAGACGTAAGAGTGACCTTTCGCCGGAGTGACCTTTGGTGCGGGCACAGATGGGCCCCCAGATGGCCGAACGCGAAGCGGTAGCAGCGGCTAGCGCGCCTGGGTTTGGCCTCCCCGCGGCCCCCCAACAGCTGCGCACCAAGGGTCACCCCAGGGTCACTCCAACGTGTAGCCGACACCCGCGGACCCGGGCCTGGTGGCCACCTCAGGGCCGGCCTGGTCTCGGGCCCTGGCCCCGGCTCCCGGGCAGCTGGCGTCGTGGGTTCTCTGTCCACGGCGTGGCCCTCGACCGGGTTCTCAGTCCGCGGGCCGCTCTCTCGACGCTCCCCGGGCCCGGCGGGGGCCCCCGAGGTCCAACACTTCCGCGAAGAGTTTCCGTGGTGACTGCTCCGCGATGCGGCGATGCCAGGGCTGGCCCGCTTCGGCGCTGGCCCGGGCCAGGCGAGCCTCCGCCTCCGTCGAGTTGCACGCAAGAGTGACCCTTCGCCGGAGTGACCTCCGGTGCGGGCCCATTGGGGCCCCCCGATCGCCGAAAGCGATGTGATACTGGCGGCTTGCGCTCCCGGGTTTGGCCACCTCGCGGCCTTCCGAAAGCCGCGCACCAGAGGTCATTCTTGCCCAGGGTCGGTCTTTGCGTGTAGCCGGAAGTCGGGCCTGTCCCTCTACAGGAGGAATGTTTCAAAATAGTACAAAGAACGGGGACGATTTTTTCATAATTTTTCGATTATTTGTTGTGTATTGCGAGGGCCTTACGGCCAGTGCCGCCGACCCTGAATGACGACGACGACGACGACGACGACGATCGCTCTCGGGGGCCTCCCGGGGGTAGTTTGGGGGCCTCTTGGGAAGCTCTTGGGAACCGCTTGGGAGCCTCGTGGGAGCCTCTCGGGGCTTCCTGAGGGTCTCTTGAGGGCCTCTTGGGGCCTATTAGGGGGCTTCTGAGGGGACTCTGGAGGCTTCCTGAGAGCTTCTCAGGCCGAGGGGTCGAAATATCCGTTTGGGTCCCCGTCTGGGCTCCCTCTTGGAGCCGTCTTGGGGGCCTCCTCGGTTGTCTTGGAGGCCTCTTGGGCGGTCTTGAGGCCCTCTTGGGTCGTTGTGGAGCTCTTTTGGAGGCCTCTTGAGCCATTTTGGGGCGATCTTGGAGGCCTCTTGGCCTGTCTTGGAGCGTCGGGAAGCTGACATGGCGAGAATGCTGAATATATATATATATATATATATATATATATATATATATATATATATAAGAAAAAGACAAAATCGGGAAATCTACGTTTTTTGCTCCTTGGGGCCGTCTTGGAGCGTTTTGGAAACCTTTTGAGCCGTCTGGAGGTTACTTTGGCGACTTGGACCAAATACTTCGGCGAGTCGGGGCCCTCGAAGACCGTCTTGGGGACATCTTGGGGCACTTTTGCCGCGTCTTGGGGCTTTTCTGGGCCCCCGAGCCGCCCAGGGGGGAGTCTTATCTGCCCCGGGACCCGCGGACCCCCCCCCCCGGTCGGGGAAGGGATCAAAGGGAAGGGGCTTCCCTTCGACTCAACTGCAACGTTGCTGAATCTCGCTGTGGCTGGCGCGGAACAGCCTCTTCCACACGCCGACAGGGTCGGCGGATTTTCGACTATTGTCAACTGTTCGTCAAAAATCCGCCTGCAGGGGGACATGCCCGACCTAATGGAGGATGACGATTAATAAATGACCGGGGGTCGTGTTCACGCGGCGGCGCCGGGGATGACGATTAGAAAAAACCGGCCGCGGGCTGGAACACTATGTTTTAAATCGCTCTCCTCCAGTCAGAAACCTGTGCAGAAATAGCAGAGAAAACTATTATTTTAATCGCCCTCTCCCATTTTTTTATCAATCGTCATCCCGCATTATGTGTAGCCGCCTCCGGCACCAGAGTCCGCCGCGCCGATGTGGCCCGCAGCAGCCGCCCCCGTGCTCCGCGGCGGCGCGGGACGCGCCGCGCGCCGCTGCGCGCCCCTCCTCGCGGGCGGCGCTGCGCCAGGGCGCCTCGCGCTGCCGCGGGCGCTGCGGTGCGCGGGGGGGGCGTCCGGGGCGCAGGCGGGCGCGCCCGGCGACGACCCCACGGTGGTCCGCAGGAACGCGTTCAAGGATCTTGCAGTCGGCGACGAGCGAGGAGGGGAACGTCGAACTTCGAGGCTCGAACTTCGAGGTTCTAGGTTTTCGGGCGTTTCGGTTGGTTCTTGGTAGTTTGCCGCCCTCGGGATGCGTTCCAGCGGCTGCGCCTCGCCGAGGGCGTTCCAGGGATGCCCAGATCGTCCCGAACGGCCGCCAGAGACCCGAGGTATGACCCGAAAATTGAACACGGCGGCGAGCGAGGGGGGGAAATGAGAAGGAGAAGGCCTTCTCAGAAGGCGGCGGGGCTTCTCAGAAGCCCTCGCGCCTTCCGAGAAGTGGTTCGACGTCTTCCTGTGGAAGGCTCAGGAAGCTTGTCAGAAGGCCGGAGGACCTCCGAGCCTTCTGAGAAGGCCCGCCCCTGATCACTTCCCCTACAGGCTCGCCGCCAAGACACGCAGGATCGAACTATGGTACGGGAAGGATAGGGTCGAAGTCTGACGGCTGCCTGCCCAACAGCGGCCGCTGTTAGTGTTGAGCAAAATTTGCTGCCGGGCGCACGTGCCTTTTTTTCCGCACCCAACTCGGGCGTCCAAACCCGAAGGGGATTACAACATTACATGACGTAAAGGTTCGGAGGTCCGCGCTGATTTCTTGGGTCGGCAATGGGGGCCCCCTCGCGGCGCCTCGGGCGCCGCCCCTGGCGCGCTCCGCGTGCCAGGGAGGGGGCCTCAGCGCCGATCTCGAAAATCCGCGCGGACATCCGAAAGCGTATGCTGATGATATTCTCTCTTCAAGGAGGCGATCCGGCCTGGCTCGGGGCAGCGGCGGCAGATCGGGCTGTGGACCGGGCTGAGGAGCACGCTCGTGGCCGAGATGGTCTCCCACGTGTCTGGGCTGGACTGGTTCGTGATCGATATGGAGCACTCCCCCAACGAGCTCGGCGACGTGCTCCTGCAGCTGCAAGCCTCGCAGAGGGGTCGCGCGGAGCCCGTGGTGAGGGTGCCCTGGAACGAGATTGTGCAGGTGAAGCGGGTGCTTGATCTGGGGGCGCAGAGCATCATCTTCCCCTGGGTCAACACGGCGGAGGAGGCACGGCAAGCCGTCGAGGCAACGAGGTATCCCGGGGTGGGAGGCGGAGGCCTGCGCGGTGTCATGAGTTTGGCGCGCATGAACAACTACGGCGCGCAGAACCCACACTACTACCGCGAGGCGGCGGGCCAGATCTGCAACATCGTTCAGATCGAGACCGCCACGGCAGTCGAGAACATTGAGGCCATCGCCGCCGTGGACGGGGTGGACGCTCTCTTCATAGGCCCGAGCGATCTTTCCGCGTCCCTGGGTCACATCGGCAACCCCGGTCATCCCGAGGTCAGGAGCACGATCGCCAGCGCTTTCAAGCGCATCGCCGCGACGGGCAAGGCCTCGGGGTTCCTCACGGCCAATCACGACGACGCCCGCTGGGCCCTAGAGCTGGGCTGCAACTTTGTCGCGGTCGGCAGCGACGTCCAGATGCTCACCGCGGCGACCAAGAAGGCCGCGGCCGACTTCCACACCTTCTGCGAGAAGCTGTGAGGAAAGAGGAGGGAGAGAGGGCGGGGGAGGGGAAGGAATAGGATGGGCATTTCAGGGAGGATGACGAGAAGGATCAGGATGAGGGGGAGGAGGAGGAGGAAGAGGAGGAGGAGGAGGAGGAGGAGGAGGAGGAGGAGGAGGAGGGCGAGGGGGAGGGGGAGGAGGACGAGGAGGAGGAGGAGGAGGAGGAGGAGGAGGAGGAGGAGGAGGAGGAGGAGTAGAGGAGGAGGAGGAGGAGGAGGAGGAGGAGGAGGAGGAGGAGGAGGAGGGAAGGGAGGAGCAGGAGGAGGAGGAGGAGGACCAGTGCAAACCCTCCCTTCAAGCTCCCTCTTCACAGGCCCCATACAAAGGTTCATTCCCACTTAGGGAACTGCCTCGTTGGAAGACAACCGTATGATGTCCCTGAATCATGCCAAAGCATCGTTCTTGGGATTCCAACCCCACGGATCAACTTGACTGTACGATCTTGAATCGTGCCAGCACGCCATTCTTGGGACTTCAACACCGCGAATCAACGAACTGTTGCACCCTCACAATCCCGAATCCTTCCAAAACGCCATTTATGGTGAGCTGACCATGGGAATCCGTGAAGCTCTGGCCATGTTTCGAAAACGAATGTGCGCGGCGCTAAGGCGCGAGCCACAGCTTGAAAAGGAGCTGCCGTCAATGCGTGAAGCTCTTGCAGAGTTTAAAATCGAATGTGCGCGGAACTAAGGCGAGAGCCATCATTTGAAAAGGAATCGCCGTCAATCCGTGAAGATCTTGCAAACGTTAGAAACGAGTATGCGCGGCGCTTAGACGAGAGCCACATAAAACATGAATGAGAATGAATGAATGAATGAATGTCCGTAGCCATTTTGGCTCAAGTCCGTAGCCCTTTCGGGTCAGGACCTGGCCTCACTGGCAAGGGGGGAGCAGCGGCCCCCACAGTGCTCCTCCTCGTCTGCCAGGCCAGACGAGGGATTTTGGCTTCTCCTGCTCTCGAGCTGCTGTGGCATGGTCCCCGCGCCCCCGCAGCCCCGCTCCCAGAGCAGACACCAGACCCGCTCCCAGAGCGGCTACAAGACGTGCTATGGCAAGAGCTCATGTGGCTATCAGTATAATCTGGTGGATTGGGCTCGCTGCTATCGCTGCAAGAAGTGGCTCCGCGACGACCCGGTTCGGGACACGGTCAAGGGGCCCCCCCGTCCTTGGTCAGGCGAGCAGCAGTCCAAGGATGCATGGCAACAGGTGGAGTCCACGCGCCGCAAGGCCAAGTCGAGCCCAGGCACGAGTGCTGACCAGTCCCAGTCTGGGAGTGGGAAGGGCGGCTCGGCCCAGCAGCGCAGTGGCAAAGGATCGGACACAGGTGGCAAGCAGACGCAGCGCGACTACCTCGCGGCTGCAGTGGAGCAGCTCACGCTTGCTGGGCTGGCAGACGACCACCCGCTCATGGTGGCCGCCAAGGCTCAGGTGCCCTCCGCTGCTGCTGCTCAGCCTGACGAACGTGGCCCACCGCCATGGATGCGAGTTCGGTCCCATCAGGACAAGCTGGCCCACTTCCAGGGCCAGCTTACTGCGTCGAAGGCGACGGAGGCCAACCTCCGTCAACAGATCACGGAGCTGGAGCAGGACCTGGAGGACTGCGTTGCATCCCAGGCGGCTCTGGCGGAATCGGTCAAGAAGGAAGAGGAGGAGCTCCAGAGGCTCCATCGACGTGCTGCTCTTCACCCTGCTGGTGATGACTGCAAGGCGGCTGTCAACGGGCTGGTGGAGACGCTGTTCGGCCATCTGCCCGAGTCGTTCAGAGTGGCGAAGGCGGACCAGCTCCGCACCGCGGTGGACCTCCTGGGCGACCTGGCTGCTGCTGGGGCCTCTTTCCAGGAGCAGGAGGAAGCACGGCGGAAGGCACAGGCCGAGGAGGCCGCGCAGCGTGCCATGTCGGGCAGCGGCCCTTCGCCAGCCCCAGCGGCACCCTCGGACTCACGTGTGGCGGAGGATTGCAAGCAGCAACTTACTGAGTTGCTGGAGGGCGGACAGGCAGGGCAGTACGAAGGTCTCTACAGGACCATGCTCGATTTCCTGCAGAACCCTTCAGCCCTCAGCAAGAGGCCCAGGAGGGACGCGCCAGGCCCAGAGGCTGCGGCGGCGGCGGCCCCCTCGGCCGCGCCTGGCCCTGCGGCTGCTGATGTTCCTGCTGATGTTCCTATGCCTGCTGACCGCGATGTCGCTGGTGCCCCACCCCCGTCGGGGTAGCGGGGTCGGCGCTGCAGCTGCTGGACGCCGCCTGCCTGCGCCCGCCTCACACCGAGGCAGGTGGCGCTCCCTGGCGGCGCGGGCTGGGGCTACTGGCCATCGACGAGTTCGAGGCGAGAGTGTGCAGGAGGAGACTCCTGCGGTGCAGGAGGAGACTCCTGCGGCCCGTCGGCCTGAGGTATGGAAGCTGTGTACGGCCAACATCACCTCGTGGGGCATCGAGTGCGGGGACAGGGGTAAGGTCACGAGAAGGCCCTTCCTGGAGCTCTGCGACTCTGTGGATGCCGACATCTACGTTTTCCAAGAGCACCACCAGACGGAGCTACGTTTGGTGGACGTTCAGCAGGCGCTGGTCAAGGCTGGCATGGTCTCACTCCTCACTCCTGCTGCCCCCTCAGGTCGTTCAGAGGCTGGCACCACTGGAGGAGTGGGCATTGCGACTTCGAAGCTCTGGGGCCTCAAAGGACTCGATGATTTGCCTGAGGGTATCGCGGTTCCTCCTGGATGTCGATTTCGTCTGGGGCTCTGGAGTGGGTTATGTACTGGAGGTGTTTTAGTCGGATCGGTCTACCTGCACACTGGAATCGGCTGCCGCGGTCAAAATCTTTCCTTGCTGCACAGTATTGGGGAGGTCCTGAGGGCGTATGGCATGCCGTTTATTCTGGGTGGAGATTTTCAGTTTTCAGCGGAGCAACTGGTCGAGTCTGGTTGGATTGGGGATCTTCAGGCTGAGGTGGTCTCTGACGTCTCGAATTGGACCTGTCAGTTGGGTACGTCTCGGTCGTCCATCGATTACTTTGTCCTCTCCTCCTCGCTCAAGCAGTTTGTGGTGAGCTGCTCAGTTGCGACATGGTCTACCAGTGCCAGACCGCACCGCCCTGTGGCGTTGAGCATGTCTGGCCACCCGCGGCAGGTGACAGTTCCCAGGCTCAAGAAGCCGTCGGCCTTCCCTCTCCACCGCCCTGTTGGATGCGACCCTCGCCCCCTGGAGTGGGACGACTTGCGTGATCAGCTCTCCCAGGGGGATTGTACCAAGGACCGTTTGGATGCTGTCACTTCTCTGTGGGTTCAAAGGGCTGAGGTGGCGCTTTCTCGCGTATTTCATGTCGATGGGGATCCACGATACCGAGGCCGAGGAGGCCCCCCCAAGGTGGTGCAAGTCCCTCTGCTCGGCCCCCCTGCCTCCACTCACCCCAGGGCTATTGGGGAGGGCCGTATGTGGCGTGTCTTGGAAAGGCGACTCCAGGACATCGTGTATCTCTGGCATGGGCCTGCGCCCACCTTGGGGGGGATCAAACAAGCGGGGATCCTCTTGCGGAAGCTCGTGAACTACCTGTCCCCCTTCACCGATTGCAAGCATTGGGCTTCTTGGCGAGTTCGGGTTCTGGCCGTCAACCCTGCCAACGTCTCGGAGCTCCAGGAGTTGATCTGGCAGGTCCGAAAGTGGGCCCTTCAGCACGAGCATCATGCGGCCTCGGAGCGGGCCCGAGCCTGGCGTGAGTGGGTTCAAGATGCGTTATCTGGGAGCGCTCGACTGGGCCACCGGTTCACCAAAGAGGTTCCGAAGTGGGCTGCATCTGGGCTCTCTTGTTTCTCGGGGCCGTCTGGTGAGCCTCTGGGGATTGCTGCTGAAGCCGATCTTCGGGCTCAAAAGTGGCATCAGCATTGGGGTGTCGGACAAGTTTTCCCAGAGCCTGATTTTGGTTGGTGCGATGACGAGCCAGAGCTGGAGGCCCCCACCCATGAGGAGCTCTTAGCCCTTACCAGGACCTACAGCACGCACACGGCCATCGGAGTCTGTGGCCTGCATCCCCGTCACTGGTCCTTCCTCGACGACGGCGCTGTCGCGGTTTTCCTTCGGATCTGGGCCGAGATGCAGCGCCTGGTTCACATTCCGAGGTGCTGGGCTCTGCTGCTTATTGCTCTTCTACCGAAGCCGCCGCCTGAAGGGGGAGATCGTCCTATTGGGATCTTCGCGACGCCTCTTCGGTTGTGGTCCCGCTGGGCCCGATGGAAAGTTGCTGGCCCTTGGGAAAAGGCAAACCCTCGCGGGTTCTGGTATGGTGACTCAGGGGCCTCATGTGACATTTGCGTTTGGAAGCAGAGTTTCAAGGCGGAGTTGGCCAGAGACCAGGGCAGAGCGGCAGGGACAACCCTGCTCGACCTGGTCAAAGCATATGAGCACGTGCCCCACCATGTTTTAGCTGCAGCAGCCCGTCGGCACAAGTTCCGAGGTAAGACCCTTCGCTTCCTGCTCGCATCATATTGCCTCGACAGAATGGTGCTCTTCCAGAACATCGCCACGCAGGTGGTGGTGACGCACCGCACGATTGTCGCGGGCTGCAGCTGCGCGACTTCCCTACTGCGTCTGGTGCTCTTGTCGCCAGTGGATGCCGTCTCTCTTCGCTTCGTGAATGTCGAGGTGGCGGTCGTGGTAGATGATCTGCAGTTGCAACGTATTGGCGAGGCATGGGAAGTCGCCAGGGAACTCAAGGGGGCCGAGGACCTATTGGCGGCTGAGCTTACGCAGATCGGCTTGACTCTCTCCCTGCCCAAGAAGCACCAGGTGGTCATCGGCCAAGGCATACGGAAGGTGTTTAGGAAAGTCAACCCGTCCTCGTCGAGGTTCCTCACACGCTCGGTTCGGAACCTGGGGCTGGACTTTGGCGGTGGAAATCGGCTTTCTCATTCGGTTCGTGCACAGCGGCTGGGCAGGATGGCGTCTCGGATCCCTCGGTATAAGCGGCTCGCGAAAGCTGGGGGCAAGACGATCAAGCTGGTGCAGACTGGCCTCAAGCCTGGGATGCTCTGGGCAGTGGGAGTTCACGGCATCAGCAACACGCACCTACTGAGCGCCAGGCAACTGGCGCGCGCGGGCATGGTCTACAGGCACACGGGCAGGTCGCTCTCATTGGACCTCATGCTGGCTGGGCCGCAGGTCGACCCCGCCTTCGAGTGCAACAGGAGCCCGATCTTCCTCTGGCTGCAGGCGCTGTGGGACGGATGGGCCCCCAGAGCAGATATGGCGCGACTTCTGAGTGGAGCATGGACACGCCTGTCTAGAGTTCCTGTGTCTCAAGTTTGGTCTGACATTCGCGGACCTGCTTCTGCGCTAGTTGCGACAATTTTGCGGTTGGGTTGGTCTGTATCTGACCCTTTTCATTGGAAGACCCACCGAGGTCCTCTTGCAATTGAACAGATTTCCCCGAAGGATGGAGGTAGGTTAGTTGATGAGGCCACCGAGCGGTGGGTGTGGCGCCAGGTTCTCGCGAAGCATCCCTCGTGGGTCTCGCCCTGCCCTCATCCTCCTCTCGTGGAGCCCCTGAGGTCCCTCCTCCAGCCTCATTCTGTCCGAGGCCCTGACTGGACCCCAAGGCATCAGGGACTGCTGCGGTGCCTGTTTGCAGGAGGTTTCTGGTCGCAGGAGCGACTGTACGAGTCAGGTGGAGCCGTCAACCCGAGCTGCCTTGCCTGTCAGAGTGCTGGATCTACCTGGCACCGATTCTACGATTGCCCCCTGCATACCGAGTTCCGTCGGGATTACAGAGCTGGCAGTGCCATGGCTGGTCAAATGCTAGACATGGCCCGAGCTGCTGCGGTGGATACCTTGCTTTTCACGCGCTTTCTTGTTCCTGACCCTGCTTGGCTCTTCCCGAGCCCCTGCCTCGAGGAGCGAGTCGTGTGGACGGTGCGGTCTCCCGACTTGCTGCTCGACGTGCACGTGTTCGGTGATGGGTCGGGGAGGCACGGAAGTTTCTCTCGCTTACGGCGCTGCGGATGGGGACTCTGTTCGCTTGACGACAGCAAGCGAGTGGTTGCTCGCCTGCATGGCCCTCTGCCCTGTCTCATTCAATCTGTGCCAGCGGCTGAGCTTTTCAGTTTCTTGATGGCGCTGAGGTATATGGGAGCTCAGATGAAGTTTTATACGGATTGCAAGCCGCTCGTGGATGTCTGGCGCCAAGGCGTTGGAGCGGGCACCGCTGCGAGTGACCCGCTTGCCTTACTTTGGAGGGAGGTTTGGAGGCTTGTGTCTGACCGTGGGGGTGAGTCGGTGGAGGTTTCTCACGTCAAAGCGCATACTCCTGCCTCTGCCGTAGCAGAGGGACGGATTTCAGAATGGCAGCGTGTCGGCAATGCCCAGGCTGATCAGTCGGCTAAATGGGGTGCCGCCATGCATAGTGATTCCCTCCAGCTGCGATCTGCGCATGGCGCGTCGCGCAGCGCCATCCGCCTTGTAGCCCAGTTCTGTACCAGGCTGGTCGCTCGGATCGGCACCATCACGCCACGTGACGCCCAAGCGCAAATACTCGGCCGTGCCATAGGCACGATTGAGGGGGGACTTGGTCCCCCGAAGCCGCACTCGCGTTTCGACCCTGCAGTGACGGTGGTTGCGCACAGGTTCCGATGCATGGTGTGCCTTCGGTCAGCGAGGACACGCTCGGTGCTTCGCCAGCTTCGATGTGACGACAGGTCCAGCTCCCACGCACTTCACCGCGCGGGGCCTTTCCTGTTCTGCTCTCTGTGCGGGGCATTTTCGGAAAAGAAGAGCCAGGGTCTTTCGCAGGATTGCTTACCGATGAATCGTAGGCAGGGTGTCCTGGTGAGAGACTCGAGATACTACAGGCTGCGCAACCTCGTGCGAGGCTGCCATCCTTTACGGGCCCGCGATTTTGTGGGCCCTCCGATTTTGCTGCGGAAGCGAAGGCTGCTGGAGTCGGCCGAACTGCCGCCTCTGCCTGCTCTTTCTCCTCCTGTCGGGACTGGGAGTGGGGGGGTGGGGGTGGGGTGGACGGGGCAGGAGTGCTCTCCGCCGCCCGCTTTCCAGGCCGATCTGGCCTTGTGGGACGGCCTCTCTGGCTTTCCCATTGCCAGCGTAGAGGAGGACGACGGCGACCCATCCCAAGGTGCGTGGGGTCGGGTCGAAGGCGTCCCCTGCGCTGGCTAGCTGTTTTTCAAACGAAGGCTGGTTCGCTTGCGGTCAGTCTCTGTCAGTAAAAAAAAAAAAAACATGAATGTGCGCCTCGCTAACACGAGAGCCACAGTTTGAAAACGACCAGCCCTCCATCTGTGAATATGTTGCCAATCTTAAAGCTTCAGGGTCATAAGCGGTGAGGAAGTCTCAGGCGAAACGCCCAGCTCGCCCTAAAATCTGGCCTCGGGGTGTGACAGGGAGAAGTGATTTACAAGGGAAAGGAATGGAGGAGGAGGAGGAGGAGGAGGAGGAGGAGGAGGAGGAGGAGGAGGAGGAGGAGTTGGAGTTGGAGGAGGAGGGGAGAGGAGGGGGAGGAGGAGGAGGAGGAAGGGAGAGGGAGAAGGAGGGGGAGAGAGGGGAGGGAGGGGGAGAGGAGGAGGAGGAGGAGGAGGAGGAGGAGGAGGAGGAGGAAGAAGAAGAAGAAAAAGAGGAGGAGGAGGAAGAGGAGGAGGAGGAGGAGGAGGAGGAGGAGGAGGAGAAGGAGGAATCGGAGAAGGATCCAGCAGCAGGTGCCGCTCAGTGTGGCCATGCCCCCCCTCGGCGGCGGCACCCCACGCCCGCTGCTCACGGGGCCTGTGTTGGTGGCAGGCCAGGCCCTTTGGGGCGGCCCGGTGCGTCCAGCCCCTGTGTGGGCACAGGCCCCGCTGCCTGGGCGCGGCCAGTGGCCCTTTTCCCAGCAGCAGTGCCCCTCCCCCTGGCAACGGCCAGAGGTTGAGGTGGTCCGCGAGGGCCCCAGCTCCAGCAGCAGCACGGTCCGCATTCAGGAGAACATCAAGGACAGGAGAGGAAAGGAACGGAAAGGCAAGGAAAGCATGAGGACGAGGATGCGGAGATAACGACAGAGAGTGCCCCGTGGGCTTGACCAACAGTCCTCCTCGTCCTGCTTCGGCACCCGCTCCGCTCTCATACTGGCGAGCCTCCTCTTGTTCTTCGCCTTCATCTTCGGTTTCTTCCTCCGCATCCTCCCATCTGCCTCCTCCTCCTTCTCCTCCTCCTCCTCCTCGACCTCTCGACCTCTCCTGATCCTTCTCCTCCTCCTCCTCCTCCTCCTCCTCCTCCTCCTCCTCCTCCTCCTCCTCCTCCTCCTCTCAAGCCATTTGCGGCACGAGGGCCTCTTGGGAGCAGGTCCCCACCCGCACGGCACTCGCGCGTACCGAGTGTGGGCGGGCCCAGGTGCCCGCTACGCGCTCCCGCGGCTTGAGGGGCGCCCTTCAGGCGGCGAAAGTCGAGTGACCGACAGCTTCATGGGACGGAGCGGCAGCGCACGAGCCAGAAGCAGAGATGGCACGCGGCCGCCTTCGACTCACGGCAAGCGTCGTCAGGCGTATCTTGCGTGTCGCAGCTGCGCTGGCTCTTGGGTGTATTGCAGCAGAGCGGGAGCCCCAAGCTGGGAGTCTTGTCGGACCTGCGGAGTTCCTTGGCCCAAGCAGCAGCCTGGCAACCGTAAGGAGGTCTCCTTCGCGTTTCCCGACGGGGCGGACTCCAACAGCGGCGGCGACATGCTCGTGAACCAGCTGCTGCCCAAGTACAAAGCCGCGAAGGCTGCCAAGGACGAGGACTCCATCAAAGCGCTGGAGGTCGTCTGCCCTGCACTTGCAGCTGCATTCCAGGCCCCTCCAGCAGAATCACCAGAAGTACAGCTCGAGAGGCAGACAGCTTGCCTGCGACGCTTGCACGCGCAGCAGGAGAAGCTCAAGAACCAACTGGTGGCCAACGCCAAGGACGGCAAGGAGTTGGTGGGCAAGCTGGAGGAAAACGTCCAGGCCTGCGCAGAGACTCAGGCGGAAGTCACCCGCCTCACCAGCCTCACCACCACCGCCAGAGGCGCCAGCACCACCAAATCGGAGAAAGACAGGTCCAGCGAGTCGGCCTTCCAGTTCCCCGAGCTGCCGGCCGAGGACGTCGAGCTCTTCACCCCTGAGCAGAAGAAGGCGTGTGAGGAGGCGCTCGGCCACGCGCAGAAGGCGCAGCAGGTGTACAAGAAGAACATCGGGGAGCAGGCGCGCGAGGCGGCTGAGACCTTGCGCGAGCTCCGCGAGAAGGCACCATCAGCTAAGAGGCGCAAGCCCGACGGAACAGCAGGAATTGCAGCAGGAGCACCCACAGCCCCCGAGGCCCAGCGCGAGGAGCCGCAGCTGCCCGAGCCGACCTTGGACTTCTCCAGCCCGCAGCACGTGGACGCGTTCATCCAGAAGACGGCGGCCATCAAGGCACGTGCAGCGGCAGCGGAGGCAGTCAAGGCGAGCCCCAAGCCAGCTGCCTCCGCCGCTGATGCACCAGCGGGGACGGCGGGTGGGTAGTCCTGCTCCTCCTGCTGCAGTTGGCGTGCAACCAGTACCTCCTCAAGGACGGGTCCCGTTCGGTAAGCGTCGCCATGTCTCGATCTTCTTCGGGGACGTGGCCAACTACGGGCCCAAGGTTAAGAAGTTCGTTGAAAGCGCGCCCTACGACCTCCTGGGATTGGCGGAACATCACTTGCGGGAAATGAGTTGCCAGCGTGGGGAACGTAGGCTTCGAAGTTTTGGATGGCGTTCAGAAGGCACCTGAACGGCGGCTACGGCATCAGGGCGCTCTGCGAATGGCACGCACCGGGGGGCGTGCTGGCTCCGACGGGTGACCTACGCTGCTAGCGTCCACCTCCCAGGTCCGCAGCAGAAGAGCATCGACCACGACGCGCTGCAGGACATCTCCGTCGTCCTCTGGAGGCTCCACTGCGCGACCTTCGCGTTCATCGCGTGCTACCTGGACTGCTCCATCGGTCTGGTTGGCATCAACGCGAAGAAGCTCACCACGATTATCCGCATTATCAAGTCGCTGGACGTCCCCTGGCTGCTGGTGGGCGGATTCAAGGCGACGCCGAGCGAGATGAGCCGCTCGGGCTGGCTCGATGCCTTGCAGGGCGAGGTCATCACCCCCGAGGGCGTGGAGGTGACCTGCACCTCTGGCAAGGGCCGCATCATCGACTATGTCATCGTGCTTCACGGCTTCTGCCCCTTCGTGCATCAAGTCTTACCTGTCCAGACGTTGCCGTGGGGGCCTCACATTGGCCTCAACATCACAATCGCTTCGAGGCCAGCCTCAGTCCTCCTCGGGGTCCCAGTGCCCCCTGTGCCGCTTGTCACCCCAGTAGGAGAAGTGCGCGCACCAGAAGGCACCAAGAGGCAGCAGAGAGACCGCCAACGGCATGCCCGCAGCATGGAGGCCACCAACGACACTGAGGTGCTGCAGGTTGGGGATCTCTTGACAGAGGAGACGGCCCACCTGCTGAGCGACCACTACACTACCAAGTGCCACTTTTGCTGCGAGGACGCCGACTGGGCCGTCAGCGTCAGGGAGGCCAAGGATTTCGTCGAGGGCGGCAACTAATTGGGCTACCCCAGCTACCCCAACAGCCAGGACAACGCGGCCTACTGCGAGGCGTCCCACACGAGCGACGCGCTGGCCAAGCACTACGCCGTCTGGACGATCGCCGCTGAGTCGCAATTGGCTGAGCTGCGCAACGTGGAGCCTCGACGAGGCGCCAGGCGCGGCATGCCTGTGTGATACCAGTGGCGCAAGGCCGTGCACCAGGAGAAGGACTCTACCTTTGGCAATGTCAGCGCCGACAGAGTCAACAATATGTGGCAGAGCCCGCATGCACGACTGCAAGAGCACCTCATCGCCCGGGCCAGGTTTCGTCATTCGCGATAGCAGCGCGAAGTCCACTCCACCGTCAAGGGTATGATCGAGGGCCTCTGCCGTCACCATGAAGCTCAAGGACCCGCACCTCCTGGACACGAGCAGGACCGCAGTGGCAAGTGGAAGGTGCACCGAGATGACGGCCACGTACTACGGCAAGGAGCGCTTATTCGCCACAGCGCCGACTACGGGCCATGGCAGAGCTTCGCGCCACGAGTTCAAGCGCGCGCTCTACGACACTCCAACCTGTTGCGGCAGCAGACGCGCAGCGAGAGTGGCAGGTCAGGTGGGCGAGGCTGCACGCGCAGGGCCCCATGGAAGAGGCGCGCCGCTTCCTGAAGAAGCTGGAGCACAGAGCGCTGGACGAGACCTGTGTCAACCCCTCTACGCTGGAGGTGTGCGTGTGTGTGAGACAGTCCAGGGCACCACTGTGACCAGGGCGGCCTGCTGGAAGGCGAGGTGGACGTCCCAGCCCCGCCGGCTACCAGCGGTCCGCGCGGCCCTTGGCAGGCTCCGAACTCGCGCCACCGAGGAGCTGGCAGCGCGGCCGCACCACGACAGAGAGGGCCTGGTGACTGCTCTCAAGTCCTTCCCGATGACCACGGGCATTGGCGCGGACCAATGGAAGCCGCGCCGCATCCTCGCGCTCTCGGACCAGGGGCAGGACGACTTCGTGACACTCCTGAACACGGTGGAGAGGGGGCTAGCCTGGCCCCGCCAGCTGCTGAACAAAAGGTTCGCTCTCCTCCCGAAGGGCGACAGGCAGGTGATCGGCAACGAGCGCGACATCGGCCTCCTTCCCATGCCCGTCCGCATCTGGGGCCGCATGGCGAAGACCCCGCTGACGGAGTGGCGCGACGCGGAGGCGGCCCACTGGGGCGCCGCCATCAAGGGCAGCAGCGCGCTCCAGGCCGCCCTTAAGACCATGGTCATGGACGGGGCTCGGGCGCGCACCGTTTACAACGAGCAGGGCAACGTCCTAGTGGATGTGGAGAGGTTCTACGGCTACATGGACCTCTCACTCATGACTGACCAGGCGATGGCGCTGGAGTTCCCCGCGGCGGAGCTATACCTGCGCTGCTTGACTTACACGGCGCCGCGCGTTATCCGAGCACAAGGCGCCTACGCCGAAGAGATCTACCCAGTCTGTTCCATCGTGCCTGGCCGTGGCAAAGCCAACCATTGTGCTGGGGCGTTGCTGTGCCGCCTCCTGGAGAAGGCCCACCAGCAAGCGCCCCTCGCCAGCGTCCGCCAGTGCGTTGACGACGTGCGCTCTAGGGTGGAGGGCCCCGCTGCTATGGTGCTGGACCAGACCGAGCAGGTCAGTGTCAGCCTGGTGCAGGGCATGCTGGACTTAGGCCTGCGGGTTTCTGCAACGTCCATCCTCGCGATGTCTATGCCTGCTCACGAGCTGGAGGTTCAGAAGCACGTGCTCGCGGCCACTGGCATCAAGATCAAGAGAGCTAAGTGGGCCAAGGACCTAGGCATCGACTGCAACGTGGACCAGCGGCGTACGTGCAAGACTACAAGAGGGCGTCATGCTCCACAACTGCACTATCAGGGCCAAGTACCGATGCGCCGACCCAGCGGTGGGAGTTGCGCCCTCGGAGATGAAGCTGAGACGAGCTCGAGCTGCTGACTTGGCAGGCCACGCGACAGGGGGCCGCTGCATCGCCACGGTCATGCTGCTTCCTTGCCAGGACGACGAGCCCAAAATGAGTGCGCTCATGGATCAGGTCAAGAACTGGTTTCAGCCCTGGGTTGCGACTCCTGATATGCGTGGGCGTGTTCGACGGAGATGGCGAGCTGTGCTCAAGAAGCTGATCTGCACCAGACCGCGGGCCCGTTGGAAGTGCGTCACGGGCCCCATGGGCGCGCTGATCCTGTCCTTCCGCGAGCTGGGCTGGACACCTCGGGCCCCCGACGCGTGGGTCGACGACCAGGGCGACGAGTGGAGGCGCGTGAGCGACCACGATTCCTGCGACGAGCTCTACCAAGCCCTAGGCGAATCAGTTCGGCGCGAACTCTGGCGCGCCGCAGCCCAGCATCCTGAAGGTCGTGGACTCGAGGAGGGCGGAGACCCACAGAAGCTGCGCCTCAATGTCCGGCGCCTCTGTCGCAAGGACCATCACCGAGAAGCCGGTGTTCTGGAAGCCAACGCGCTGGCCAGCACATGGACAAAGGCTCGCGCCAAGGCTGCAGGCTGCGTGTGTGACTACGTATGCAACAGATGCGGTCTCTGGCGTGACACCATCGGCCACCGCTTGAACGAATGCACCGTGGACCGCCAGCTGGAGCACGAATGGGCGGCCAGGACTGACGGCCTGTGCGAGGCCGCACTGGGAGACCTGAGTGAAGGAAATAACGTTAGTTTTTGGACACGAGGGATAGTTCCCCCGCCCTGGAACCCAGTGCCCAAGGCCCCCGAGTGAAACTCTGTAGAAGGCCAGGATGTTTGGGCACTTGGGCTTCCTCCTCCTGGCCTCTCTCCTTCCTCGACCTCCTCCCCTCTGACTCCTGCCCTCTCCAGGCCCAGGTAGGCTTCCTAGACGGCTCGGCCGCTTCCAGTGACGCCAGGGTTTGTCGGGTCAGTTGGGGGTTTACTTTCGCTTTTGAAAGGAGGGGGGGGGCAGCTGGACGTGGACCAGAGCCCCCTTGAAGGACTTTTCGGCAACATCGACGGGGAACAAGCGGTACCTGCCAGTGAACTTGCGGCCCTGGCCTGGGCCCTGCGGGTCACCACGGGGCCGGTTCTGCTCTGGACTGATTGCCAGGTTGTTTTCCGCGGCTGGCAGGTGGGCCTTGCGGAGTCGCCGTCGGGCCCCCCTTGTTCGCTGGTGGGATAGGTTTGAGACAGCCCTGCGTAGCAGGGTCGGCGGTAGGGTTGCTTGAAAGAAATGCTTCTCTCATGTGGACGTAGATGCCCATATGCAAGTAGGTCAGTGTTTGCAGGTCTCGAGAGGAAGCGAGATGGCGGATCAGCTGGCCCAGCGAGGAGCAGAGGCCGCATCCCAGCCCATCCGTTCGGCTATCAAGAGTTGAATATCGCTGACGCGAGAGCCACCCTCGTGCATCAGCGAATAGGGGCGATCCTGGCACAAGTTTGCGAAGACCTGGACCGTTCGGACCGCGGTGTTTTCGGTTTGGCGACGGGGCCTTCCAGGCTCCAGGAGCTCAAGGCCCAGTCGGGCCACGAGCTCGTGCGTCTGGACAACGGGCTGTGGTCGTGCAAACGGTGTCGACAGGGCCCTGGTAGGTACTCTCTGTGGCGGACTGGTTAAAACGCACACCGAGTCTGGGGGATGTTGCCAAGAGGGATCTGAGCGAGCAAGGCCACCACGTCTTTGTCCCCCCCCCCACTGTTATAAGCCAATTGCGGGTGGTGTCTAAGACGGTGCACCCCTCGCATTCGATCGCCATGCAGCACGGCTTGGCGTGGTGTTGGGGACGTGCGCGCCATGCCTCCATCGTTGCGGGAGGCGGGCGCCTGTGCAAGCTAGCCCGCGAGTGCCCAAAGATGCGCGCGCGGTCTGGCCAGACTATGATCAACCGTCCCCGTAAGGGCCTCACCAGGAAAGCGGGGATGTCCTGGCCTATTCCCCCAGCTGGGGGGAGCGGACCTCCTTTGCCGTTGGTTGGCAGCTCAGTCAAATCTTATGGGAGGAGGAAGACGGGGGGGAAGGCCGCTCGCTCTAGAACCCCCCCGACGACCACAGTAAATTACGCGTAATTGACATTCTCTGTCGGAGAGGCGTAGCACTGCTGCGGCCTCTCTCTGAAGTAGATTCCTGTAGATTCCTCCTCCTCCTCCTCCTCCACACGCCAGCCTGGAGGGCCTGGAGAAGATGTTGGCCCTTGCGTCGTGCGCGCCACGTGTGGCGGTAAATCTCGGGCGGGGGCGTTCTTGGCTACGAGATAGTAACGGGCCGAGCCGGACACGCTGCAATGGCAGCAGACAGGCGGCGCACGGAGCTGCCAGAGGAGGAAGAAGACGTGGAGGAGGAGGAAAAGAAGGAGGAGGAGCAGGAGCAGGAGAAGAGGGAAGAGGAGGAGGAGGAGGAGGAGGAGGAGGAGGAGGAAGAGGAGGAGGAGAAGGAGGAGAAGGAGGAGGAGGAGGTAGAGGAGGAGTACGTGGAGGAGTAAGAGGTGGCGCGATGCGGAATGGTGCGCTCCGCGGGTGGTGTTTGGCAGCAGGCCGAAGAAGCTGCCCCCGAGCGCACTGCGGCTTCGCTTGGGAGACGATCTGCGAACGCATGAGCTTCCTGGTGGCATCAGATGTAGTTGCGCGACGGAGGGATCTCAGGCATCACTGTGTAGACAGATTGCCGAAATCAGGCGCGAGTGGGCTCATGTTGCGCGCTACGGCGCATTCGTCCCCAGCCCCCTGGCTGCACCGCGTGGAATGATTCCTCCCCCTTCGAAACACTCCTACCTGTCGCGCCATCAGATGTGTCGCTGGGGCAGGCCAGGCGTTCCGCCTCAGACTTCCTCACTGGTGACGGGCTTGACGCTCGACGTCCCCAACCGCTGGGCTCTCCCTTTGGCGGTGCACACGCTCGTCTTCACAAGTTCCAACCGTTGCACGGACGGAGGGCGAATCGTTTTCAAAATGGGGTGTTCTCTCTCTCTCTCTCTGTCTCTCTCCTTGTCGCCGCGCACGCTCGTCTCGATCATTTCCAACACCAACATGTTCAAGGATGGAGGGCGAGTCCGATTCCACGTGTCAAAAACGGTGTTCTCGTTCGAGACCGTGCCACACATGTTACCCGAAGTCGAATCTGGTGCAACCGTTGCACGGGCGGAGGGCGGTTCCTATTCGGCATAGGGGCTCTCGCCGCAGATCCCTGCAGGCTGTGCGACCCGAGCTCTAAACACAACAGTTGCGCGGATGCAGGGCGGCTCCTCAAAGCGGGGTGCCCGCCTTGTCGCATGCTTTATGCTCCCACCATGTCGCATTCCTTATGCCTCTAAAGATGGATGACAGGTCCGTGGGGCCCTGTCTTTGAAGGGGGGCACTTCACGCAATGAAGAAGAATACTGCCAGGACTTCGGAGGACAGGACGTTGGACGGGCGGGTGTATTGCAGCATCGTTGATACACTTTGGGCTTACGCTGGTCCTTCTCCTCCTCCTCCTCCTCCTCCTCCTCCGCCCCCTCCTCCTCCTCCTCCTCCTCCTCCTCCTCCTCCTCCTTCTCCTGCTCCTCCTCCTCCTCCTCCTCCTCCTCCTCCTCCCCTCCTCCCCCTCCCCCTCATCCTCACTCTTCTCCTCTCTCTCCTCATCTCTCCTTCCTCCTCCTTCCTGCTCCCTCTCCTCAGCCTCCTCGACCCCTCCTCAACCTCCTCGGCCTCCGAGGCGCCTGTCGAGGACGCGGTGTCGCAGGTCTACGACGGGCTGAACGACCCCGAGTACAACCAGTCGCCCCAGCTGGACGGCGAACCGGCCGGCGAAGAACTGCGAGCGCCCCCGGCCTGCCACGAGTGGCCTGTCGGCCAAACGTGTTTGCGGGCGCCTTCGCTGGGCTCTGCTTCGGTTTCGCAAGTCTTCGTCGGCTCCCCCAGCAAGGAGGGAGAGGATCGAGGCCTCCCAGATGGGGTCGGAGCAGGTGGGGTCGGAGGATCGCGCCGCGTCGCCGATGCAGCGCCGATGCGGCTCGATGCGGAGCGCGATTTTCTCAGCGCCGGCGTCGCCGATGCATCGCCCACGTCGACGATGCATTGCCAGTGCATCGCCGATGCATCGCCGATGTATCAGCGATGCGGCGCGATCCTCCGACCCCATCCACTCCGACCCCATCTAGGAGGTCTCTCGAGGAGGAGGGGGGACGATGGTGGTGGTGATGATGGCCTCTGGTGCGCTGCTGTAAACGTGTTCGGATGTTCCTGGGGGCTTTCCTGCCTCGGGGTGCGTTCCGGCAGCCGCGCCTCCTTGTGGATACCTCTTCGGGCGGCTCGCAGGAAGTCTGCGCGGGCTTCCTCTCCGTGCTCGGCGTCTCGAGGTCGCGTCCCGGCCCCAGGGCCGTCCACCAGCTGCTCTGGGAGCACCAGTCGGCCATTGACAGTAGGCATTCGTGGACCCCCAGATCCCAATCTGCTTTGGCCGCCTTCCGACTTCAATGATCGAGTGGGTTCCCCCTCTCCTGCTTCTTCAGGGGGCGGGCGGAAGCCCAACCTACCTTCACCGCCTTCCTACTTCATGCCTCTACCTACTTCTTCCGACCGACGGGCAAGGGCAGCTCCCGGGGACGGGGTCGAGAGCTCCAGGGGCTGGCGACTCGAAAAGCCTGAGCCGTCGGACCGGATGTCTGAGCTTTGCTCTGCCCCCATCCCTTGCAGCCATTATTGAGGAGGAGAAACCCACACAGACACAATGAATCGTCGACTCCTAGGGAAGTCTTGGAAAATACGGGAAATGGGGGGGGAGTCGGAAACCCAGGAAGATATGGGAAAGTATCGGTAGTCCTAGGATTTGTGTCCATTCATTTGTGTGTCCCGAGACCTCTTTCATCACACGCGACGGAAGATGGAAGGAACTGCCCTAACAAGGGTGGGCCAGAGGGGCTGGCAGGGAGGTCGGGCCCAGGCTGGCCAGCTGTTTGACCGGGGTAAGTAATTCTTTGACAGGTGACAGGCGGTTATTTCCACGCCCCTCTGCAGGGGCAACGATAGGCGGGATAGGCATAGGGGGGGATGCATCGACCCCCAATCGCTCATTGATCGCCGATAGGGGTCTGATAGCCCCACCCCGCCCAGAAAGGTGCGGATTCGCTATCGGGGGCCTATCGCCGATCTATCGGCGATGTATCGCTGATTCCAGGTCTCCCCCTTATCGTTGCCCCTCAACTCTCCACCTTGCGGGCTTGATGTTGGCCCTTAGCGAGCGGCCCCCCCCGCCACTCCACAGCAGTGTCAGGCTTCGGGCTGCGCGCAGACGGCCCCCGAGACTGTCCCAGCTGGCCTCCACAGGCATCTCCCTCCTCCTCCTCCTCCTCCTCCCTCCTCCTCCTCCCTCCTCCTCCTCCTCCCCTCCTCCTGCTCCTCCTCCTCCTCCTCCCTCCCTCCTCCCCTCCTCCTCCTCCTCCTCCTCCTCCTCTCTCCTCCTCTCCTCCTCCTCCTCCTCCTCCTCCTCCTCCTCCTCCCCCCGCGTAGCGCAGGGCGGTCTCAACACCCTGGCGCCTCCTCCGCCGGCGCCCCTGGGGCGCTCCGCGCCCCAGAGTTGAGGTGCTGAGACCGCCATGGACTCCTCCTCCTCCTCCTCCTCCTCCTCCTCCTCCTCCTCCTCCTCCTCCTCCCCCTCCTCCTCGCCCTCCTCCTCCTCCTCCTCCTCCTCCTCCTCCTCCTCCTCCTCCTCCTCCTCCTCTCCTCTCCTCTCCTCTCCTCTCCTAGCTGGACGCCGTTGAGGTGCTGAGTGGGGGGTTGTCTGTGTGCCACCCG